GAAGGCATCATAGTGTCACTGAGCAGAGCCTGAAGGCATCATAATGTCACTGATCAGAGCAACTTTATTTACACTGTGACGGTTAACGTTGAACACAGCCTTTGAATCCTCCGTCTCTGTTTCTCTTACAGGATATAAAGCTGAACTCCTGACCACCAGGTATGAATTCATGTCACGGTGCATATTTCATCTTCACGTTTTCACTCTTTATTCTTGTTTTTATGAAGACTTTGTTTTTCTTTCTGCTCATTTTCAGCCGTGGGCGGAAGAACTCCCACAGCAAACACCAGGTAGAGCTCCACTGCTGTCAGGTTGTTTCTGGGAACAGCTGACGTCATTTATTTACACTTCTATAGTTCAGTTAGAGCTGCATACTCCAAAAACATTTAAGTAAATCATTGATTCGCCAATTTATTTTGTAAAAACTGCCGATATTCACAATCTAAACAGTTGATTTCTCGCCTAAAAAATTCTCAGAAGGGAATTTAGTGATGAAATGGCAAGAACTTGCCGTTTTTGGGTCGCTGTTGTCATGACCGCAGGCCATTCCAGCGCTTTGCATTGTGGGATACATTAGGCGAGGTAGACTGGTTCAATGTATGCTGGAGATCTTTTTCAAAATCAGTGCGACATCCACGTATTTTTGGCACAAATGGTTTTAAACTGCTAAATCGGTCTACGGATTATAAAATGTTTTTTCTACATTTTTCTTAAGCTTCATTTTTTTCTTAAGTATTACATTTAATATGTTTGTTTAAAGTTAAAAGTTTAACTGCTATTCTTTAACCCTTTAACTTGTACAGGGAAAGATAGAAAATGGCAGGTTTTTTTTAGCTTAAGGTTTAAGTTCTATCCTTTGTCATTAATAACATGAGATTGTCTACTTCTGTGTGAACCTGCTGAAAACAACGAGGACGAAGAGTCGATAAGAACTTAATAATCATAACGAATCAAATCTAAACAATAAGGATTCTTAATTGTGTCCTTGATGACTTTATTTATAGGATTCAGCTAAAGCCATACCGCTGCTTGTGGAGAGCTGCATCCGCTACATCAACCTACACGGTGAGTTTAAATATATATAATATAATATAATATATAAATATATTATGGATTTTAATTGCATTTATTTTATGGTATTAAATGTAACCTTGTCAACCCTGCAGACTCCCTGAAAACCTTTTGAGTATAAAAATGTAACGTATAGATTTACAGCTGTGGTTTAGAAATGTTGACAGAATTCAAAAAGCTATTTATTGTCGACGTCATGATTACATCACAGTGTTAGCTGGAGGCAAAATACAGGAAATACTGGAGGCAAACACAAAATCACCACATGGAGAATGAATACATCTCGTTGTGTTGTTGGGTGACAGAATCAAAGGATGAAGTCTGTTTTAAAGAGTTCGTTCAGATTCAAGAAACTCACACAACAACATAACAAAGATCAGCAACTCCTGTGACTTCTCAGGTAAAGTCACTGTTTTTGTGAATGGAGTCTGGAGGCCTTGAAGAGAGCAGGGATTAAACTGATATCTCTAGGTGTCTAAAACACGTCCCCAGCAGAACATTGCTTTGCTCTAAAGATGACATCTCTTTAATCTGAGGTTACTACGACTAGCTGACGCTACAGACACACCTAAAGACAACCGCTGTCTGCTCCCAACAGGTCTTCAGCATCAGGGCATATTCCGGGTGTCGGGATCTCAGGTGGAGGTCAACGACATCAAGAACTCCTTCGAGAGAGGTGAGAACGTCACCAACAGACCGACGGCTTCGGGTGGGTGAGGATGCGGTTTGACTCGTTGTTGTTGTTGTCGTCGTCGTCCAGGTAACGACCCGTTGATTGACGAGGAGAGCAACCACGACATCAACTCGGTGGCTGGAGTGTTGAAGCTTTACTTCAGGGGTTTGGAGAACCCGCTGTTTCCCAAGGAGAGGTTTAATGACCTCATCTCCTGCGTCCGTGAGTCTGCAGCAGATCTGAACACAGACACACACACACACACACACACACGATGCACACGTTTCTACACTCAGTATCTCTGATGTCAGTACAGAAATCTGAGCATACTTTTAATCAAAAATGGAATATCTGATGTTATATCATCATACCTTATTAAAGTTTTTAAATTCTCTAATATAGAAAGTTTTCTTTTTTACATGAGCATATTACGTACTTACCTATGTACTTATTTACTTGCTTGCTTATTTACTCCCTTACTTACTCACTCCCTTGCTCACTTACTCACTTACATACTTATTTACTCACTTGCTCACTTACTTATTCGCTCACTTATTTGCTTACCTACTTATTTACACCTTGATTTGCTGACTTACTTTCTTATTCACTCACTTACTCACTTATTTTACAAACTTATTTACCTACTTACTTACATACTTGTGTGTGTATAAAACCCAGCAGTAGAAGATCCTAGAGCTCCTGAAGGATTACTAAACAATAGTCTGTAATGTCGGGCGCTCCCGATCCATTGAGAGCTTTCACATCTAAAAGCTACCATTGTAGTGTAGCTAAAATAGCTCATGTAGCTAAGTCTCTTACTGTATATGTGACCTTAAACATAAATGAGCGTTCCCCTGATGTAGAAAGACTCACTTTCCCGCTCAGCCTCTTTGTGTTAGCTTCTCTTTAGTGTCTCTTAGTCTGTTGTTAAACTCATCTCCTCCTCAGCAGAGCGGTCGTTGTGTTTCTGACGTCTCCGTCTCTGCACTGATTGATTCTGATGATGTTTCCCTTCAGGGATCGAGAACATGTACGAGAGGGCGCAGTGCATCCGGAAGATCCTGCTGGGCGTCCCGAGGGCGACGCTGGTGGTGATGCGTTACCTGTTCGCCTTCCTCAACCAGTGAGTATCCACTTTAATAAAAATAAATACATTTTACATGTATGATAATTTACTTCCATTTCACAGAATTGTTCCCAATTGTTACTTACTTACCCACTTACTTGTTTACTTATATACTTGCTTGCTTGCTTGCTTACTTAATTACTCCCTTACTTACCCACTTACTTACTTGCTAACTTACTTACTCCCTTACCCACTTACTTACTTACTTACTTACTTATATACTTGCTTGCTTACTTAATTACTCCGTTACTTACCCGCTTACTTACTTGCTAATTACTTATTTACTTGCATGCTTATTTACTCCCTTACTTACTTGCTTGCTTGCTTACTTGCTCCCTTGCTAACTGGCTTACTTGCGTACTTAGTCAATACAAAAAATGTACGGGAAAAAAACTTTCCATCAATGATAATTTCCCTCCATTTCCCAGAATTGTTCCCACGCGGTTTTAAAGCTGGGGCTCGGTGGGAGAGGCTAAAGAAGTGCACACTTACAGCTCGTAGAGATGATAGAACTCGAGTGTGATGGACCAGTTAGAACATATCGGTGCTCCCGTCAGCAGCCCCGTGAAGTGCTTTTACCTTCAGTGTTATCAAACCAGCAGCTTCACTGTCGAGGAGACGGAACATATTTCTCTTTCCATCAGTGTTTAACTTCCTGGTCCCTGCGAACGCCGGTGGCAACGTCACAGGAAACGAGACTGAATGTGGAAATGTTCCGTTTATTTTAACATCAGCGCTCTATGAAGCAATAATTAGATTTGTTAAATGCTAATTAATTGGCAGGAAGTCCGCTGACATTGTTTTACAGCACAAGAGAGAAAGACTGAGTTGTTTCTTTAGAGGAAGAGCTTCCTGCACTTGAGTCTTTTAAACCCTCCGTTCAGTTGTACGTTGTATATTTCTTATCGAGGATTTCTTTCCTGCGGCGTGAATAAAATCTGTACAACGAGATAATAAACCATAATAGTTGATAAAAGTATTGAAATTGTGTCATAAATTTTGAAAAATACAAAAAATCTCAAATGTGTTTCAGTAAAATTTGTAAACACATCTTTCTTAAACATGAACAAAATATTTCTCAACACAACTAACATTATTTGAACTATGTGTATCTTATATTTTTTGACATTATGCTAATTTTGTATACGTTGATAGTTTCTCCTCACGTACACTGTGACAGAATAAATGCTTTAGATATTAAGGTTTAAATATTAACAGGATCATGCAAACACTGTTTTTAAGGGATTAGATCCAGCACAGGGATGGCGGACTCCACCACTTAAAACTACTGTACAGAGACATTTAAAGAATGTAAATACACTGATTGCTGGAAAACATATCGATCATAAATAGTATCAAAAACAGGATTATGACTAATTATAATAAAGAATATAATTGGTTATTTGGGTCCTAAGAGAGAGACGTACAATAAAATGTATAAAATAAGTGTATTCACATTATGCTGTTTCATATGAACTCAAACCAGGACATAAAAAACAGCTTTTTATAGTAGGGTTTTTGCCGAATGTTTCAGCGTTCCCGCTCTGTCCCCCAACCCCCCCCCCACAGCCTCTCCCAGTACAGCGACGAGAACATGATGGATGCTGGGAACCTGGCCATCGTGTTCGGCCCCACCCTGCTGCCCACGCCGGACACGCTGGACCAGGTGGCCTGTCAGGCGCACGTCAACGAGGTCGTCAAGACGGTCATCCTGAACCACGACAACATCTTCCCGGACACCAAGGAGCTGCCCGGCCCGGTTTATGAGAAGTGTATGACCGGAGACCAGTACTGGTGAGTTTGTCAATCTGATTCTCCTCATTATAATATCCTAATGTTAGTACCAACTCTCCATCGAGATGAACCTGCTGAACCTGCTCTGTAATTACATTTGTCACGTTTTTTATGTTTTCTTCAGTCTCAAAGTAACATAGCGATAGTTCTCTCTACATCCACGGATTCACTGCAAACAAGAGCTGCTAATAGATACTTCGGCGCACTTTTAATGGTGTTAATTAGCTAAAATGTGAAAAATATAGGTTAAAAATACACCTATACACTTAAAAAAGCCACTAAACACTACCAGCTCAGCTTCAAACAGCAGTCACACTCGGATAGAGACCAGCTGGGGGACATGGAGGAGCATTTAGCAGCTAAAGATTGGTGGTGGAGACCAAAAAAGGAGCTAAAAGAGAACATTTGACTTAACATAACTGAGTCCAATCTCAACACACAGACATGAACACACTTTGATATCACTCAGTGTGAACTACACTAACCAAAGATATCTTTATCTCTGATGTCCATCAAAGATAAACGCCCAAGAATCCGCTTTGAAAGCGTAGAGACAATAAGACGCTGCAGAACTTGTTGAGAATGTTCACGTTTCTAAGTTTTCTTCAGTTTTAAAGTAATGCAGTGATGGTTGTCTGGATGTGCTGCAGACATGAGCTGCTAATAGATCATTCTGCATTCTTTTTATGCTACAAATTTGCCAATTTAGGCTGAAAACATTTCCTTCTTACGATCCCCAAAACAAAGTGGCCCACAGTGTCACGTTCACATTTCTTCCTGTTAATCTGTGCAGAGCGCCCGATACTGTGAACACAGCGTGTGTGCTGTTCCCTCAGACTCTTGATGAGCAGCCTCGTCTCCATCTGTGCATCCTCCCTTTTGTTCCCATGTTGAATGGACAGCGTGTCGATCTGAGCTCCTCTTCCTCTTCCTTTTCCTCTTCCTCTTCCTGCAGCGAGAGTCCGTTCAGCGAGCCGGGGGCGCTGGAGGAGGCCGAGCCCGACGGCGGCACCGAGACCCAGACCAGCGACGAGGGTACGCGTGACCCCTGACCCTCACGCACAGTTCACACACACACACACACACACACACACACACACACACACACACACTCCCTCTGTGTGTCCTGGTGGAGAGGGGTTGCTATGCAACAGCAGCCATGGAGACGCCTCCCTCCCTCCCTTCTCCTTCTCTCTCTCCGATTTATAGAAAAGACTTGTTTCCATGCTCTCCTCTGATTGGTGGATCTGTGGGAGGAACAAAGCCGCATGGAGACGGCTGATTGACAAGCTCAGGTTCACCTCTATTTCCCAATGTCTGGCTCTTATCTTCCTCCTCCTCCTCCCCCCCCCCTCCTCTCCTTCCTCCTTCTCTCTCTCTGGCAGAGGGCGAGGGTGTGGAGGCGGTGGCGAGGTTCGACTACGGGGGCCGGTCGGGCCGCGAGCTCTCCTTCAAGAAGGGAGCGTCCCTGCAGCTCTTCCAGCGAGCGTCACATGACTGGTGGGAGGGGCGGCACAACGGCAACCGCGGCCTGGTGCCTCACCAGTACATCGTGGTGAAGGACAGGCGAGTGCCCGGCTCCACCGTGCTGCCACGCGCTGTTATTTATATATTGTGGACATTTCTATTTCATTTGAGTTGGTTTCTGAGCAGGTTTGGTTGATTAAAGTTTACGTTTTGTGGTATTTTACCTTTACTTTTACCTTAGTATTTGCTCTGTATATATACATATACAATGAATCCTTTACCCAAAGAGAAGAATAGATGCACTGACATTATTAGTTATTTTACATTTAAAGTGTCAGTCTGTAAGACTTCTGTCCTGGTTGATTTACAGTCTTTCTTTCAGCTTCAAGTTTTCAGAAAGTCGATCATTATTGTGTAATAATACATATTCTATAATACAATAAAATAAGATAGATATGACTGGTATATCACTAAATGTAATATATATATATATCTCAAAATGTATGTTGTTCCACCTAGTTTTTATCTGACCTTCAGTTTAATATTATATATATAATATAACTAAAATATTGTACAAATAGTGTTCTTAAACTTAATTTAGAATAATAAAATGATGCTAATAGATCCATACTGATTTTGAGTCTACATGTATTTGGATGTAATGTAAAGATGTAATGAAATGTAAAGATTAGTTTCATATATATATATATATATATATATATATATATATATATATATACTAGCTTTAAAAGGGCGAGAATCATCCGTACTGAAGCTCCTCTGAACATAAGTGGCTGGTTTGATTGGACCGAGGGAGTCACTGACCCTCCACGTTATCGATCTCTTAATTGATTAATTGGTGTGTTTGTGTGTCTTCAGGCCCGACGTCATGTCGGAGACGCTCAGCCAGAAGGCCGACAGCGACGGAGGAAGCAGCAGCACCGACGACAAGCGGTCCAGGAGCGAGCTGAGCTCCCCGACCGACATCAGACCGCCAGAGACCTACAACAGGTCCGTCATGTAAGACAGACCTCCGCTATCAGCGCAGAGAGAGCGCTCGACTGTTCTCACGCCTCTAAAAATACCTCGTGAATCTCATCAGGCTGTCATCACTCCCGTCTCTCATGTGACTCCCTCAGTCACTGCTCACAAGTATCATTAATTCATACACATCAAAGAATCCACGCGTCAAATGTCATCAATGTATATATATGTGCACGTTTACATGTTTAAATACTATAAGAAAGTCACTTTGATACTCTATTTATACCCTTAACTGAAGTACCAATACAACCATTTTACTGTTAATACAGAGTATTACTAGCCAAATGTACTACAAGTATTTAAAGTTCTCGTTCTGCAGAGTTAGTACTAGCATCAAGTTACTGGTGGAGCTACTTTAACTACTTTATATACAGTAAGTTTAGTCCAGTGGTTTCATCTTCAACAGTTTATTGAATTTGATCTTTCAATATCACTGTGCTCATCTTCATCTTCATCATCATCCTTCGTCCTCATCTTCATCCTCATCCTCATCCTTCGTCTTTATCTTCATCCTCATCCTCATCTTCATCCTCATCCTTCGTCTTCATCCTCATCCTTCGTCTTCATCTTTATCCTCATCTTCATCCTCATCTTCATCCTCATCCTTCGTCTTCATCCTCATCCTCATCTTCATCCTCATCCTTCATCTTCATCCTCATCTTCATCCTCCTCATCTTTATCCTCATCCTCATCTTCGTCTTCATCCTCATCCTTCATCTTTATCCTCATCCTTCATCTTCATCCTCATCTTCATCCTCCTCATCTTTATCCTCATCCTCATCTTCATCCTCATCCTCATCCTCCTCATCCTTCGTCTTCAATGACTCGCCGTGAACCCGGGCAGCTGATTCTACTTCCTGTTTACAGTCACAGGAGGAAGCGGACCGACGGTTTGTTCCGCCGCCCCCTCGGCCGCTCCGACAGCCACTGCCACGGTAACGGGGGGGTGATGGAGCGCAGCTCGCCGCCGGTGACGGGTCACTTCAGCCCCCGGGAGCTGCTGCTGGGGCGGAGTCAGGGCATGACTCCGCCCCTCGACAGCCCCGAGCGCCGCCGCCGCTCCGCCGCCGCCGTGACCATGACGGTGAGCCGACACGATTCGCTGCGGAGGCCGGAGGACACGCCCATACGGCGCTCGAGCAGCGGGCAGCACGGCTTCAGTGACTCCCATCGCTCCAGAGCCCTGGACCCAGACACACTGGCTCAGGTACACACACACACACACACACACACACACAGGCACACACACACACACAGGCACACACACACACACACACACACAGGCACACACACACACAGGTGTGGGAGATGGAGGGTGGAGAGAAGGAATGGGCCGCCGACAAACACGTCCCTCTAAATGGCTATAAAAATACTATATATCAACATTATTTTCCACTTTTACCGAGTTAATTGTTTATAACTACCAAATATTTATTCAGTTTCAGAGTTTTAACCCTTTAAACGCCAGGTTTTGAGATGATGCGACTACGTTTTAATTTAAAAAACAAGTTTTTAGGCTTCTGATGATTAAAACCCTTCAAAGTTGTTACCTTCTAACAGCCTGTTGCCTTATTTTGATCACGTACAGTTTTGAGTGTGTTAGATCAGGTACTCTGTACTCTACCTGTTCAGGTACTCTGCTCAGGTACTCTGTTCTCTACCTGTTCAGGTACTCTGCTCAGGTACTCTGTATACTACCTGTTAAGGTACTCTGTATATTACCTGTTAAGGTACTCTGCTCAGGTACTCTGTATACTACCTGTTCAGGTACTCTGTATACTACCTGTTAAGGTACTCTGCTCAGGTACTC